GGGGTTGGAAGTAGTGGTCTATAATTGCTGCATAGACAGCACAGGTGGTGAAATTCTTAGACAGACGAGGTTCTTGTAACACGTTGTCATTTTCAATTGTGATTTCTCTGCGTTTGATTGTGCGTCCCCAGCTTGGTGGAATGGTGCTTATTAAACCATAGTAAGCTGTAAACGGGACACGAAGCCGAAAGATTTGTTGAAATTTGTCATGTGATAAGAAGTTAAAATTTTCGTCAAGCAGGTCATTTATGTACATGATTCCAGCTCGATGCCATTGCTTTAAATAGATCATCTGTTTATCTATTAAAATGTTTTTATTGTTCCAGATAATTTCGTTTTGCTTGTGTGTATTGTCTTCTAATATAATGGGTTTGTTTTCTTGCCAGTACTTTAATATTGTGCGATAGAAGGGTGGTACATTATTCAAATTCAGTAACTTGACATCATATCTACAGTTTAGTAAGAAAGAAAGACCGCCATGTTCCCTGAAGAAATGTTCGATAAGAATTTTCCAGGAGTCGGAGTTTTGCATATTCTTATAATCCAGACAATTTTGAGCGCGGTGTTCATTACTTCAAAGTCGATCATTTTTAATCCGCCCTTATTTTTTTCACCAACTATTGTCATTCTCTTAATTTTAAGGGGGTTTACCCTGCTAAATGAAATTAAAGATCATGCTGTTAATCGTGTCAGACAAGTTTTTGGGTAGATTAAGATATTGATTTTATTGGCGCAGTGTCTCCAGTTATTTTAGGGCAGTGAAACATCAGAAAATGAACAGATTTCCTAAGGTTGGTTTCCTTTAGGATTATCTGGATCAGGATCAGTGATCTGAAATCACTATGATCATAGTCACCACCCGCTTCTCAAGAAGCAAGTTTTTCAGTCATAGATACACAAAGCGTATAAATGACGATCAAGATTTAAGGAATCAGTGAAAAGCGATCTCGTTAAAGGCTATGTTTTAACATAATTTGTAATGATTTGTATTCACATTATTTAAGATTGTAGTTGTGTCATTTCCCTAATGATCTGGTAAATATAGTCTTTTGTTAAATTGTGTCACCTTTCTGAGCCCTATTATATGTTCTTTTATAGTTTATAATTATATGTTTATAATGTTATTATGTGTTATTAGTTGTCAGAGCCATAAATTTGTGTGCTCCTCTCATATTATTATTTTATACTCATGTATAAATTTAATTATTTCAGACTTACCTAATAGCGTAGTAATAGCAGTTTTTTTTCTCTTCTTTTCCTTTCTATTTATGTGTGCATTTGTGCTATCTTGCTGACGTATGCTTTATTTTAATTTAACACTAATGTTAACTGGCTGCCTGGCTCTGCTAGCCCCTATGGTTATTCCAGGCAGCCAGTACTCTAATGTTATTATCTATATTTTCTGTAAATAGTTATAAAGCAAGAGAGAGTACAAATAAAGATTGTTACAAGTTATTATAATTATTAATTAAGAATTAGAAAACATGTACCGTGTTTCTATCAAGTTATAGAAACACGAGTAGAAGTTTGGGAGAACAAGAAATACTGTGGCAACATGAGCCGCAGGTGAGTGTTTCCACAGTTTTTTTGAGCTCTCCCAAACTTTCATGAGTGTTTCTATAACTCGACAGAAACATGGAGAACAAGTTTTCTATTTCTTTTAGAAAACACCATGACAGAAAAAGGAAAACGACTTGTTAACTTTGATTATCAAAATCTAAATTCTCTTTCTCGCACCATCATACATGGACATGCTCTTGTCCATGATTGTGGGTAGTGAACATATCTATCAGCGCATGCTTCCATGTTACTCCGTGGTAACTTTGTGGGTAAATGGGACAATGAGTCGGCCAGGTTGTGTTTCCCTGGACAGTAGACTACCTTGAAGTCATACTCATGAAGTCGCAGAACCCATCTTTCTACTCTGGCAGGGTTGGATTTGCCTTGAAAGCTGATCTTTGGTTTGAAAATGTGTTCAAGTGGGCGGTGGTCAGTTTCTAGCTCAAAGTTTCCTCCATACATTGGTGGAAGTGTTCGCAGCCAAATATTATTGCAAGAGATTCTTTTTCGAGTTGTGCGTATTTCATCTCAACTTCTGTGAGTGAGCAGTTTCCATAGGCGATTGGTCCGTATGTGGAAACTGGTTGCTGCTGTGGCAATACTGCTCCTAACGCCCAAGGTGAGGCGTCCACTACAAATCAAATAGGCGCAGTGAGGCTGTCGTGTGCCAATATCTGCGGACTTGCCAGAGCTTGTTTGAGCTTCTTGAAGCTTTCGTCTTGTTCTTTTCCCCAATGGAAGGAACTTGTGGTCTTGGTCAATTGGCGTAGAGGGTACGTGATGCCGCTGTAATCAGTTATGTATCTGGAACAATAATGTGTCAGCCTGAGGAACCAACATACTTCTGATGCACATTTCGGCCAGGGGGCATTGGTTACTGCTTCAATCTTGTTGTCGTCTGGAAGGATTCCTTGACCAGAAACAATGTGGCCAAAGACTTTGATTTCATGCACTCCAAAGGAGCATATGGGGAGTTTCAGTGTGATGCCATTGTTTTGGAGAGTTCCTAGTAGTTGGTCTAATTGCTTGATATGCTCCTCCATGTTCTTGGACCATAGCCATATGTTGTCGCATATGTTCTCACAGTTCGGAACATCTCTGATGATGTGATTTATGACTTTGTGGAGGTACTCTCCCGATGGGTAGGCTCCCATGATCAGACGTGTGAAGTGATGTGGCCTGTCAACTTAGGTCTGGAAGGCTGTAATGTAGCGTGACTCTTCGGCTAGCATGACTTCTGGATATCCCTGTGATAAATCTACTTCAGTGAAAATTGTTGTGCCCTCCATTTTCTGCAAAATCTCATTCACGGTTGGTATTTGTACTCAGCGTCACATGAGTGCTTGATTTGGGACACACATGTCAAGTACAAGACAAACATCTCCACCCTTCTTGGGTATGGCGATAAGTGGTGAAAGCCAGGGCGTTGATCCTTCAACCTTCTCAATAATGTCTTGTTTTCACATTTCTTCTAGTTTGCTGTTTACCACTGTTTTCATGCTGTGAAGGATTCAATAGGGTCGTTGAGCTACTGGTCTGATGGATGGGTCAATGTCTAGTGTTACTTGTATATTCTTGATGTTGCCCATTCCTTCGAACATTCTTTTGTGTTTGTGAAGAATTTGCCTGATCCCCGAATTTGCGTGTTTAAGGGTGTTGGCGTTGATTTTGACATCCAATAACTCCAGGGCTGTACATATTTTGTAGCTCAACAGACACCATTTGTCTTTGTCACGAGAAACTTGTCAGTTTTTGCAGTGGTGTCTGCTTTAATCTTGGCGGTGAATTGTTCTAACAGTTCCACTGGCTTGTCTGCTCCGTAAGGAAAAACACGGTAGGGAGAAGTTTCCAACTTGATGTCTGGATTTTGCTGTTGGATTTTGTTGAAAATCGACTTGTTTAACAGGTTAACAGATGATCCTGTATCAAGAATGACTTTAACGGGAATGTTCGCAATTCGCGTTATTGTTTCCGGTTGTTTGCTTGACGCGTTAATTGAATAAACGAATTCATCATGTGTCGCTGAGATAAACAGGTTTCTTTGCTTGGCTGATTTCACAAACATTCTGGCATCTTCCCGGGGGGGGGGGGG